TAGAAGTATTTTTTATAACCCAATGGTTGGTTTTAAAAATGTAAAACTTTGTGCTTAATTTCTTGCTTTAACTGTATTGTGGTGATTTTCTTTTTAAGTCTTAAAATTTAGGGGGATTAATATACGATCAATGTTTATGATGGTTATGGGGAAAGAAGTTGTGTTATCCATTGGGTAGAAAGTTGGTGTGCATTTTTAAAACCACTGGTGTTTGCCTCCTGGGTTTGTTCCCGAGGAGAGTTGTGGGCTGAGCTGAGCAGGGGTGGTGGTCTGCCCACTTTGGACACGGTGTCTGGTGGAAAGGGCAGTGTCTGCTGGGTATAGGCCCAGCGGCTCTGGGGCAACCATAAAGCATCTTGCAATTTTATTTTTTTCTGGCAAGTTCTGTTTCATGAAGTGTGGTCAGAATACTCACTCTGCTAAATCCTTGGTAGCTTTTTCTCAATTTTGCTCCATCTGCCTAAAGTAATTGCCAATTCTGCCTAGATCCTGGCCTTACATTCTGTCACTCTTAGTCTTCTTACTTGTCTATCCATAATTTTCTCTTTTCTCATTGGTGGTTCAGTGAGTCCCAGACTCAGGAGGGTAAGAGTCATGCTTACCTTGTGCGTTGTCATCTCTCTAGTCCTCTGCCCAAAACATAGTAAATAAACTCTTTTTTTGTTTGCATGAATTCAAGTTGAGCGTAGCTGCCTGGGTCGGAGCAGGGGTCGGGAAGTGCTTTCAGATTTCATTTTGAACGTCATTCATAATTATATTCCAGATTTTTTTGTCCATGTGTAGCATAATCAGCAAACTTGATTCCACATACTCACTGCTGACATTCTTTGCTATCTGTCCTTTATGTGTAAGAGAGCATGACAGGGGCAGATATGGAGAGGCGGTGTAGTGAGCACGTGTCTGGGTACTCTCCCATCCTCCTCCTTTTGACTGGTTTCATCTCTTTCAGCAGCACCTTCTTTCCTTCTTCAAAAATCCTCACTGGGGTGTATGTCTTCATCAGGTTCCTTTTGTCAGTGTCAACAGACACACCAATGGGCTCATTTGGGTTCTGTCATTGCAGCTCCTAGCTGGACTCTCCACAGCCTCTTGTAAGAGTTTTATCTGTCTGAGCATTGCTCTGTGACTAACTTGCTAATCTCCTATGTGCTCATTTACACTATAATTTTAAAAGTTCATGTAATAACTTAATATGTCTCGTGAGTATTAATACATTTCAGAGTACTTTTTTGACATTTCAAAAGAGTTTCTGTTCATCTTCTTGCTTATCCATTCAGCAACAATTTCTTGGCCATCACTATGAATGTACCTGACTCTGTGGGACAAACTATAGTCCCGCGCCCAGAGAAGACAGCTGCCTCTAATGCTGGCAGTCCATGCTCCCCAGCCTTCCACCTGGAACCTCAGGCCCCACTGGCCAAACACCACACTGAGCAGAAGAAGAACTTCTCTTTAAGAGATAGTCCTGTTGGCATAAGAGAACAGGTTAGACTTTGAAAATCAAGTACACTGGATCAAGCCTCAGTCCCAGCACTTGCCAGCTATTTGTCCTGGCCAATTTCAGGGAGCCACAGATCCCATGATAAGCTGCAGGACAGATTGCTGCATCTCAGGGCTCCTCTGGGAAGGTTAAGGTAGCTGATATGTGCAGCATCATTTACCTGAGTGTACAGCATATCATGCAAGCCAGTGGACTGTTAGTTCTTTTATGCTCTTCTGAAAATGAAGTGTGAGGGCTGGGAGGGAAGGACGAGGATATTTGTGCTGTTGCATTTACATTTTTAAATAAGCCTCTTTATAGAAGGAGCTGCAGGTGTCAACAGAAGGCAGACACACAGCCACTATTTCCCCTCCACTCTGTGTAGCCACACTGTGTTCCCCAGTTGGCCTGCTGTTTTCTCCTACCCATGTCCCACTGTGGAATGCTGCAGCAAAGCTTAGTGGGAGGGATTGGCCCAGATGTGCTGCTAGGCTTTGATGCGGGCTTGTCCTTTGCCATGCTGGGTACAGTGGGACCCTGTTCTGTGTATCAGTCAACTAACATCTGATTGATCTTTGGTTGCTCCAGGAACAAAGAAAGTAGAGCTTCCCCACTGAATTAAAAGTGGCACAGAGCAGTAAATAGGCACACCAGACACACAGGTGAAATTAATATTTCTGTAAAATAGACAAGAATGGCAGTGTTGGACCATAGGATTGGGAGGAATAGTAAACTACCATGAGGTTTCTTATTTCCTAATGTTACCAAGCAAAGACTTGCTGCCCGGCATGTGTAGGAGCCAATATTTTGACACCAGCTTTAGAGAAAAGAAAATGCTTTTTCTGCTAAGTCGACCTGCAAGGAGACAGGAGGCAAGGCTCAAATTTGTCCCCGATCCAGAGAGTTTGGGGCAAGTTTAAGGGATTAGGGGGAGCAGGCTGGTATGTGGGAGCACTGGTGGAGCAGTTTTGATTGGAGAGCTTTGGAGCTTGGCCATTCATGGTATGATATAGTAAGGGGCTTCGGCACCGATCTTCCTGGGCGATGGACCCTTTGCTTCTGAAGTTCCAGTGTTCAAGTTCCAGCCATGTCCTGGCCCTTTGGTTGGGAGTGGACGAGACTTTGGTCCTGGGTGCACTGGAGGACAAAGTTCTCTCCTCTGCACATGTTTCAGTTGCATGACTTGTGGTTTTGGCGTGTTGTCTCTGAAAAGTATCTTGTTAGAAATAGGATAGGACTAGTTTGAGCTGGTTCTGGTATTATATTATGTAGAATTTTTTATCACATATAGCAGATAAAAATAAATAGAAACTACAGGGGATAAAAAAATCACTCCTTTAACTCTTCTAGGTTCTCTACTGGGTTCCCATAAAAGAGGACAGATTTAGAAGAGACACAAACAGAAATTTATTAACATACATACTTCATGTACAACGGACCCTTGAACTCTACAGGGGTTAGGGATGCCGACCACCTTCGAAGTAAAAAGCCCACATGTAACTTAAGTCAGCCCTTCACATACTTGGATTCCCAACTGTGGATTGAAAATACAGTTGAACCTTGAACAAGAGGTTTTGAACTGTGTGAGTCCACTTGCCCTCTTGTTGACCTCTTGTTCAAGGGTCAACTATATATCTGGGAGAAACTCAGGGATAAATAAACTCAAAGAGGTGGTCTAGAAGTGGGGCTTAAATACCATCTTCAGCTAAATCAAAGGAAGACAGGTGTGGAGGAGATGAGTTATGGGAAGGGGGCCAGGAAAAGTACCCATAAACAAGGGTAAGGTAAGTTATGCAGATTTAATTCTGTGTCTTCTCCTTGGATAAGAGTCTCTTGTGATTTAGAACCATCCCTCTCTTCCTATTAGAGAGGGGAGACACCCTTACAAATGGAGATTTCCTTTATAAATGTTAATTTTCCTTATAAAAGGGGAACTTCTATTCTGATAGAGCTTTTCCTGCATTTGCTCTTTCTCAAAATAATCAGGTCAAAATAATTTTTATGCCAAAGAGGTGTATTTTGGGTGACATATTCTGGTCTTCTACAGTCACATTTTGGGCATATTAGGGTCTCCTACAAAACTAAATCATCACCATTCTAATAATAATTACAAGCAGGTTTGGGTGGCAACTGTCCATCTGTGAGTGTTATATGTGGCCAGATCTTTTTGAAGGACAAGAGGGCAAAGTAGATCTCACACCAGAGAATTGGGTTTAGGGCTAAAATAAAAAGTAGAGAGGGAGTGTGGATCCTGAGAAGAAAGAGTCACTTGATGTGAACCCCAAGAAGGAATTTATCTGCTAAGATTGACTCCCCATGGTCAATCAAGGGCCCAAATGTTATGAATAATAAGAGCCTAGCAGCCATTTGTCGACAGGGACTTCTCATGTACTCTGTACATAGGGAAGAAGCCCACACTGAACTCTCAGCTTCCCGCCCCGTGCCCTGCTTACTTGTATTTACACTGTCTGAGTCAACAACCACAGGGAAACCTTGTTTCATCTTCCTACCAATGGCTAATAGCTGCCCCATCCAAACAGAATTATATAAACTATATTCTTGTTTGCATATATACTGACCAATCAGAACTGTGTGGATTGGGATACCTTATTTACATAAAATGGACCTAATTAAGAACCTGGGTGAGAACTTTTGCTATAAAAGACGGCCTCCCTTTTGTCTCGGTGGGACACAATTTAGGTTGCTATCTGAATCAGTGTCTCCCAGGCTGCAGCTCCTATTTGCTCAAATAAATGTCTTTTCCAGATTCCTTATTACAGTCTAAAATTAATTTTGGTTTACAGGGAAAATTAGAGAGATATCATACTTTACATTCCTGAAAATTTTCTCATGCTTATGACTGAAACCTAGCCATTTAAGAATATATTAGTCAGAATATTACACCCTTGCATTGTGGAGTAGGTAAACGCTGTGTTTGCCTCCTCTCACAACCACATCAAAATTACAACTAAACTACAAAACAACGATCATTGATAAGCACCTGAAGTCTAGCTGAACAGAAGTCCTACAACTAAGGATATACAGAAGAAGCCACCTTAGGACTGGTAGGAGTGGAGACATGGAAGGGACTGCTCCCACACCCACATGTGGGGGTTAAAAATTGGGATGAATATCTCAGCTGCAGAGGTCCCCCAAAGAGGAGCGAAGTGTCCTGGCCCCACACCAGACTCCCTAGCTCAGGGTTCTAGTGCCATGGCGGGAAGTCCCAACAACTTCTGGCTGTGCAAACAAGCAGAGATTGTGGCTGAGTGAGACAAGGGCTGCTGGAGTCCCACGTGTTCCTCTTAAAGGGCCTGCACATGGATTTACTCACTGACAGACTCATTCACTCTGAACTCCAGCTCTGGGGCAGCTGCTTGAAAGGTGCCAAAGACATACTGGGAAGAACTGAATTGTCTGGCTGTGGGGCAAGGGCTGGAGGGACAGTTTTCTTCCAGACAGAAGTGCTGGAAGAAGGCATTGTTCCTCTGTTGAACCTTATCCTCCTCTCATCATGCAGATGCAAGTGGACACCATCAACCTGGCTAATGCTAGTCACCCCACCCCACTCAACTTGTGAGCCCATACAAACCGCTTGTCTTGGCTCATGTTGCAGACTTTCCTAAAATCCCTCAAAGGATCACAAACCCAAATAAGCACCATCTGGCCTTGGCATGCCCTGTATTTCTTGCTTAGTTAGCTTCCCCAAGCCCAGCAGCCCTGCCTAATACATACATAGAAACAAACACAGGGAGGCAGCCAAAATGGGGAGACAAAGAAATGTCCCAAATTAAAGAACAGAACAAAGTTCCAGAAAAAGAACTAAACAAACTGGAGAAAAGCAAACTACCAGGCACAGAGTTCAAATCACTGGTTATAAGGATACTCAGTGATCTCAGGGAGAACTTCAACAATAATATGGGAAACATAAAAATGGAGTTAGAAAGCATAAAAAAGAACCAGTCAGAAATGAAGGCCACAATAACTGAAATGAAGAATACATTAGAGGGAATCAACAGATTAGATGAAACAGAGGAGCAGAGGATCAGATGGGTGATTTAGAAGATAAAGTAGCAGAAAACATTCAATTGGAACAGCAAAAGGAAAAAATAATTTTAAAAAGTGGGGATAGTTTAAGAGGCCTCTGGGACAACATCCCTGTAACAATATTTGTGTCATAGGGGTATGAGAAGAAGAAAAGGGAACAAGGAAATGAAAACCTATTTGAAGAAATAATGAGAGAAAACTCCCTTAATCTGGTGAAGGAAATAGACATACAAGCCCAAGAAGTACAGAAAGCCACAAACAAGATGAACCCAAAGAGGCATCATAATTAAAATGCCAAAGGTTAAAGACAAAGAAGGAATCTTAAAAGTAACAAGAGAAAAGCAGTTACCTATAAAAGAGCTCCTATAAGACTGTCAGCTGATTTCTCAACAGGGAAGGGATTGGCAGGAAATACTCAAAGTGATGAAAAGCAAGGACCACGGCCCGAGCTGAGCTGCCGCTGAGCTGCCAACAGGTGGCGGGATGGCTCAGCTAAAAAAAAAAAAAAGAAAAGCAAGGACCTACAACCAAAATTACTCTACCCAGCAAAGCTATCATTTAGAATCAAAGGGCTGATAAAGAGCTTTCCAGACAAGGAAAAAGCAGAGTTCATCAACACAAAACCAGTATTACAAGAAATGTTAGATGGACTTCTTTATGAAGAAGAAAATAAAGGTAAAAAAATGAATAATAAAATGGCAATAGCTACATATCTATCAACAGTTAGTTTAAATGTAAATGAATTAAGTGCTTCAATCAAAGGACATATGGTGGCTGAATGGATAAGAAAACAAAACCCATACATATGCTGCCTACAAGGGACTGGCTTCAGACCAAAAGACACACACAGACTGAAAGTAAAGGGATGGAAAAAGAAATTTCATTAAAATGGAAAAAAAAACTGGGATAGCAATACTTATACCAAACAAAATAGACTTTAAGACCAAAGCTATAGCAAGAGACAAAGAAGGACCCAGTAATCTCATTTGTGGGTACTTACCTGAAGAAACCCAAAACACTACTTCGAAGGGATACATGTATCCGTATGTCCATTGCATCATTACTTACAATAGCCAAGATATGGAGGCAACATTGGTGTCCATTGATAGATGAATAGATAAAGAGTAGGTAGTATATATGTACAGTGGAATATTACTCAGCATTAAAAAATGAAATCTTGCTATCTGCAATAACATGGATGGATGTAAGAGGGTATTATGCTAAGTGACATAAGTCAGCTAGAGAAAGACAATTGCTATATGATTTCACTTATATGTGAAATCTGAATAACAAAACAAGCAAACAGCAACTCATAGATACAGAGAATATTTTTAGGGTTGCCAGATGGGAGGTGGTTTGGGGAGTTGGGTGACTGGGCAAAAAAAGGTGAAGGGATTCAGAAGTATAAACTGGTAGTTACAAAATAGTCACAGGGATGTAAAGTACAGTATAGGGAATATAGTCAATAGTATTGTAATAACTATGTTTGGTGTCAGATGGGTACTAGATTTATCTGGGGTGATCATTTCATAAGGCATATAAGTGTTTAATCACTGTGTTGTACACCTGAAACCAATATAATACTGTATGTCAGCTATAATTGAAAAATAAATTATTTAAGAAAAAGAATATTACCACCCTGTTTTTTTATGTCCTAACAGGTATCACTATAGACTTGTCGAGGGAAGGCCGAATCCAAACCTCACTGTGAACACTGGAAATATTATCTTATAGATGTTGAACAAACACTTAGAAAACAGTGGAGAGAAAATGTAGGAATGGGCCTTCCTTTTTTCTTAAGCAGGCTGTGTTGAAATACATTGTTGACCTACTGCACTCTTTTCTCATTTCTAAACCTAATATTTAATGGCTTCTATGGTAAGTATTCAAAATAGGGAGGTGATAATAGAAAGATTTCTTAGAAGCAGAGTAAAGCAGTCCTTCATCCCACGGCTTGTGAAGAGTATTTGGAGAATGATTGCTGAGAGCTGTGGTTTCTTTTCATGTGTGTATTAATTCAATGTCCTTTATGCTCAGTGGGGCATAAACATACAGCATTTAAATTAACATAAGAAGGCAGAAATGGGAACACTTCCCACAAGATTGCCTGGTACGGCTGCCTCCCTCCTTGGAGCTGGCCTGCCAGGCAGGGCCTCCTGTTGACGCCCTCTTGGTTCTCTCCCTTTCTCTGTCCTGTTTTGGACTGTCATTCCTAGGGATTTCTCTCATTTTAGCACTGCCTCCCACAGATGTCCCAACAGGTCTGAGTTACTTATTATGTAACTGCTATGAACTTGTTGTGTGACTCTCTGGTACAAGAAATGATACATATCTTTAGTTTTTGGATCAGTTGAAAACTGACCTAATTAACTAGATGTCTGAGAATGCCATCATCTGGCTTCTCTGTTCCCACTTACTTAATCAAGGATGCAGAAGTCCTGGGGAAAACAGAGCAAATCCTTGTGCTCAGAGACTGTGGGGATGGCAACCGCTCTGGGATACAGATGCACCCCTCGTGTAGATCCAGGGGGTTCTCACTGCTGCTCTGCCTTCTAAGGCATTCGTGCAGCCCTTCCCTGTTGGACAATGTGGGAACCAGGGCAAAGTTCTCCCCTATACAGAAGGCCCCCCTTATCCTCAGGGGATATGTTCCCAGACCCCCAATGGATGCCTGAAACCAAAGATGATACCAAACACTATATGCACTATGCTGTTTCCTATATATTCATATATATGATAAACTTTAATTTATAAATTAGGCACAGTGAGATTAACAACAATAACTAATAATGAAATGGAATAATTATAACAATACACTGTCATAAAAACTATGCTATGTAAATGTGGTCTGTCTCTCAAAATATCTAATTGTACCATACTCAGCCTTCTTGTTGTGATGATGTGAGATGATACAATGCCTATGTGATGAGATGGAGGGAGATGAATGACATAGGCATTGTGAAGTAGCGTTAGGCTACTATATGGGTGACTTGAACACAAGCTCTGAGATACCACCACAGTCGATCTTATAACCTAGAGGGCTACTAAGTGACTAACAGGTAGACGGCATATATAGCATATGCTGTACAAAGGGATGATTCACATCCCAGGCAGGACGGAGCAGAGCAGCACAAGATTTCATACTGCTACTCAGAAGAGTGTGCAATTTAAAACTTATGAATTATTTATTTTTAGTATTTTTCATTTAATATTTTTGGACCGTGGTTGACCATGGGTACCTGAAACTGCAGAAAGTGAAACTACAGATAATGGGGAGCTTCCACAGGGGGAACTCTTTTTAGTTTCAAGATGCTCATCTCACTCCCAACCATTTCATCCCCTCCACTTGTGTTAAACAAATTTATGACACTTGTTAAAAAGGTGAGGAAGACTTTATTCAAGACTATTGCAATAGGGGTTGACTCTCTGAATATAACAATGACAGTGGGGATTTATAGCCAAGGAGCATGGTGACAGGTTCAGTGGATAGAAAATCACTAAGAGAAGACATTAAGGGTGGGGAGGTTCTTGCAAAACTGACCTAACAAGATTCTTGCTGAAGGCAGACCAATGGCTTAGATATCAAGAGTAGCTGATGAGGGACTTGATTAGATATGAAGGGTAGGGGATTCTCTTTAACCTGACTTTGCAGGATCCTTGCTAAAACTGGACTCAACAAGCATGGACACAGAGGGTCAAGGCCAAGGCCTAGTGGAGAAGAGGGCTCAGGGCAGTCTAACTAAAGTTTGGTCAAGGGAGAGTCTTTGTCAAGGGACCTCTCCTACTGCCCTTCCCCTCCATGCCACTGACGGACCTGACCTCTAAACAAAGGTGGGAAGGGGGCTTTCTTCAGAGACACCCCTGAGACAGAAAGAAGCTGTTTTCCTGACCCTCCATTTCCCCACCTCCAGCATAGCCTTTAGACTACAAAGATTTGCAGGCAAATTGACCTTTTAGTTCTTTTCTGCCTCCTGGTGCAAATGAACAGGACAGGGATTAGAACACTCCTTGGCAGTCCTCCCACCAAGAGCGTGGATAGCATCAGGATCCTCGGACCCCTGGTGCTGGGTGACAAATACAAGATGGAGAGGAGACTTTCTTCTCTGATTCTTTCCTTCCCCTACTATTGTTATCTCCAGCCTCCTAAACACACTAGTGCTAAAGCT